CAAACTGTTGCTTATTTACACATCCAGGAGATACAAAGCAACATTATCCTTCATTTGTAGTTAGGGTCTGGCTTCTGGCCACCAATTTAAGTTCAAAATGAAGTATCTCTTTGGCTTAAAATATCAAGTATACCTCACAACATAATATAGTTATATGATGAACCAACAAACATCTATTGCGATCCCACAAACACAGTGAGTGAAAAGAAAAGTTTGCCTGACAAAAAACACATTTCTTTGAGGTTGGTGTATTGGATATCCCCGGTCCCCGGAAGATTTCTGACTGCAGTGAAGATGGGAGTTTCTCAGACACTCAGATAATCCTTTAGGCATCCCCTCACCTCTCTTGTGTGTGTGTGTGTATGTGTGGCCATGTTGAGTATCAGACTCACGAAGCACTCTGCAGCGTCGTCCATGATACCCAGCTGAAAACGTTGTTCGTCTTGGAAAGTCTTGGCCAGAGCGCTCCGCAGTGCATCTGATGGCAGCACACGCTCACTGCTGAACTGGAACTGAGCAAAGATACTCTGCAAACACACACACACACAGAAATACATTAATTCTTTATTTCACTGCTCCAAATATATACTGTGCAATAACACTGCATTATTTGAGTGGAAACTTACAGTATGCGTCCATGCACGTAGACTGCATTTACGTCTTTGTGTGTTTATTTCAACTAAACTCTGAACACATTTGTCCTGTAAATCGGCCCCATGTTCTTTCAACTGACCCATAAAACAGAAACAGTGGAACTAGTTGTCAACTCGTCATGAACCAAAGTGCTGCACAACAAACCCAGACTGGACTAAAACAAACGCCACAGCCGAGCCGCACAGCTGGCCTCAATATCAGACCATATCAATAATAAATGGCATTTGTACTGCACTTTTCTCCGACAAAAACAGCTCTCAGAGTGCTTTGTAGCAGTAAAATAGAAACCAAATCAAACTGTTGCAGGGGGCTCAGAGAGAAAGCTAGGCCACTGAAGTGTGTTTTGAGGGCAGTGTTCAGAGCCTGGAGAGGAGGATCAGTCAGCTTGGCGAGGATGGGGATGTTTACTCTGTTTACATCCATGCAGGTCGAGGAGACAGCCAGATTATGACCCTATATAGCAGTGGTATCAAACTCAAATTGGCATGGGGACACTGCTGGTGTTGTCATCTCATAGGAGGTATGTACCTTTTTTGACTTATTTTATGCCAAATAACGAAATTTTTAAAAACAGAATCATGTGTTTAATTTTATATAAAGGGGTAGCTTAAATTCAATTCGGAAATGGCCCCCAGGTCGGCAGTTTGAGGTCCCTGCTATAAAGTTTTGTTATTATTTCACCTGCCATGGAGGTTATGATGTTGGTCCTATTTGTTTCTCCCATTAGTTAACAGGATATCTCAAAAACTACTTGACACATGTATATGAAATGTGGTAAAAGAGCGATTTATCCACACTAACTGTTTATTGGACTGGACTTCCACATATCATAGCTCCAAAACCACTGGTTACCTGCTTTTTATTTGCTTGTGACCCCCTACAACAAGGCAATGTAAACAGGTTTGAGAAGTTTGTAAGTCTTGAGTTTTCACCTCTAAAACTCACAACAGATGGTGTCATTTGAATAAATGTTCAAATTCTGAAAAGACAAAGCAAACCAAGAAAGATTACATAATGAGGTATCCATGTGGCTTTGGGGGTTAAGACACCAACAGTCTGACTCCTTTCCTGTCAACCTTCAATAATTAAATCAATTTTATATTATTAGATTAGTAATGAATACAGAAAGAGCTGAACTTTGTTTTACTTTTTTGCTTTCCTTTTAAGCATCTTGTGACCCTTCAGATTTATCTTGTGATCCACTGTAGAGGTCTTTGCCCACAGGTTGCAAATCACTGTCCTGAAGTCCTGGATTATTCCATATGAATATAATAAAGGCCACACATGTTCCCATATTAAATAATTTTGCAATGACAAATTCAACAAATTACATATACATAATAATTACAATGCATAAAATATGTGGTTGACCTGAAACTATTAATGTACTTGATATTGCATTTTGATATTTTAGTTTCTGATTATGTATTATTGCCACATTCTTGTGGGCGTGCCTATTTGACTCCAAACAATATGGTCAGAACTCACATTAAATTAGGCAAAATTCATCCTTTAGCAAAGCCCTAATATTCCTGCACAGTATTTAGATTTCTCCCAAACTACAGCGCTTTCACTGACATTTCAAAACATTTTGTTACTAAATGACACATTTAGATTATAGTGTTGCCTTGGTAAAGGTGTTCGTTTTCTGAGTACTTTATAGTTATTGTTATTGTCGTAAATAGCGGCAGTAATAGTAGTAGTAGTAGTAGTAGTAGTAGTAGTAGTAATAGTTTTAGTAGTAGTCTTGGGAATGACTCATGTTTTGCTCATGTGGGTTGATCTAGATTAATTTGTACTTTAAACGCTGTTAAGTCTAAACATGGATGCAAAAAGTAGCGTTCAGTTCAGGCAGAGGCAGCGAGAGTAACTAACTGAGTCTGGACTGCAGAGAGCTGCAGATGTCTAAAGAGGGAAAGATAAAAGCATGGGTAACTTTCTCCAGACTGCCAACGGATAAAAATGACCTAATTTTTTTGTTGGTAAGAATTCTCCACTGGAAAAAGCAAAACCGAGCCACTATTTTTGACCAACACTAAAACGGCCCAAGACAGAAATAAACACAAGTCATGTCAGAGCGGTGGTTGGTGCTCTGCTGGCTTTCTGTCCCAGCAGTAATTCAATCACTGATTAGATGGCTGGACTGAAAACCAGCAGGTGCTCTGTGTCCTGCAGACTGAGAAGCACAGTATTAAGTGACAGAAAGATATTCTCACACAGTCACACCTCATCAGCACACGTGTTTATGCACACACTGATGTAAAATCACACAGTTTCGTTGCAACCTTCATTTTATTCATGTTGATTTTATATTTTATTTAATTTGTTTGGTTTCTGTTTGGTTTGTTTTTATACTATCATTTTCTTTTCTTTTTTATATATATGTTGTTTTATCTACTGATTTGTGCCTTTAATGTATCGTAAACACACGGTATGTACAGAGCATCTATCCTGTGCATGTGAGTTAATGTAAGGATGGGATTGTGGGGATCAAAGTAGATGCTGAAAATCTGTCATATGATCTTGCTTCATTTTTATTTTATTTGTGTCATTTTTCTTAAGAAAACAATAAAGTATCCAGAACTGAAAAAAAGCAAGAATGACTAATGTGTATATTTTTTAATCAAATATTGATTAATGGGTCTAGAATCTGAAGTTACTGAATTCATTAAGGCAAATAATGGAACCATAATGTGTAATAAACTTGTTATTATAAGTGTTGCAGCAAAGTTATTTCAGTGACATTCTACAGTCAGCTTTGTATAAAGTTTTTAACAGCAATGTAATAAAATGTTAAAGTTTATTAATTGATGTTTATGTTTGTCGCTCACAACTCTGTCCCGAGCAACCAAGGGAAGCAGCTCACTGAACCAGCAACAAAGGAGTTTCAGTAAAAATATTAACATTTGGGACACACTGAACATTTGTTTGGACAGTGGATAAGAAGCTAATGCTGCAGGGGTGATGTGAGAAATGAATATGGATGTTTTATTACTTTCTCGACCATTAAAACATTTCAAAACTAAACTTTTAAGAGCCCTTTTAAGGAAGTGAGTGTTTGGTAATTGGAACACTGAGTGGAGTACTACTTCAAACAAAAATGTTTAAATAATATAACAAAATGATTTTAAGTTTAAATATTTTAAATTAGGGCTGCAACCAACGATTAGCAGTTTTCTTGAATAATATATTATTTGTTATTTGTTCACACCAAAAAATTTCAGATAAATAAGATTTTAAATTTGATGCCATAAAGAAACCAAAAAATATTTACTGGAGCTGTAATCACTGCAGCTCTATAAAGAATCCAAACTCAACATGGATAGAATTACAAAAGGTAATCGTGCAGAGGGTCCTACTATTATGTTACAGTTAAAAACACTCATAAACTGTTGTGATGTTAAGTACATGATGCACTGAGCGGATGTCAGACAGCAGTACTGATGGAAAATACAGCTCAGTCGAGTCTGGTGACAAGTGGGCTTTCAGTAGTTAACACAATGGCTCCATGTTAAGACAATGTGTGTAATTAGTAGTAGTTGTAAAAACACGGTTCAATAATCACAAGTCAATCAGTGCTTAGGAAAAAGGCCAATGTACGTAAAGTTAAGAACCCAAACCTAAAGATTATGTCCATATACAACCAGAGGAATCAAAAATAATTATCTTTACTGTCACATAAAATCATACACAGTACAACAAAGGGAAATTTGTCCTTTGCATTTATTCCATCCTAAGTACTGGGAAACTAGGAGCACTGGGCAGCCACTGCACAGCACCCGGGGGCCAACTCTGGATCGAAGCCAGTGGCTTGGTCAAGGGTTCTGACAGGTGAATAGCGTACATGTTCTGATGGTGGGGGAAACCAGAGCACCTGGAGGAAATCCACACAAACAAGGGGAGAACATGCAAACTCCACACAGAAATCAAACCCAGGGCCTTCTTAATGTGAGGCGACAGCGTTAACCACCGAGCCACTGTGCTGCCCTTACTAATTTACATTATCATCAAGACATTGAATGTATTAGCAAAATGTTTACTGCCAAAATGTATAAGGATAAGCATAATTGTCATTGTCAACATCAGTGTTTCTTTTTCCTCCCATATCCAGTCCCAGCATGTTCCGACAACTTAAAACAAGTGGTAAAGCTTAGGAAAAGATCTTGGACCTGTTTAGATATTGAAAAAGTCACTACGGACAAGAGTACACTGGTTTAGTATTGCACTCATTGTCAGACTACATTACCCACAATGCATCTCAACCGGGAAAGAATCTCAGATTTGGGTGTGTTATGCAAGTAGCAGCTCAGGTAGCCATGAGCCATTAGAGCAGAGCTGAGGAGCAAATGGCTTCATGCAACTTTTTCAATGTATGCAGTAACACTCCCGAAGACCTGCAAACCGACTTTGATGTGTAAAGTCGTAGAGTGGTAAAAATAAAAAAGTCTTTTAGTAGGCTAAACCTAACCACACAATGGGTGCAGGATGCACACTGTGGTCTCCAGTGTCACCACTTTCCAGCTTAACCTCTTCCCTTTGAATTTGGTGTAGTACTCTGTAAGGATGTCACATTTTCTGGATTTAAAAACCTTACAAACCTTTAGTCAGTGAATGTAATCCAGGAAATTAGTAGTATGTGCTCTGTAGGAGGACGGTTGAAGCACCTGTTGTTGCTGCCTGGATCTCTTCAACTGAATATGACTTTAAGTTCACTGGTAATGAGGATCTTCCAGCCAAGTATACTTCTCAAGTGAAGCCTTAACGTCCTTGCATTGTTTCCTGGACAAATTCTCATAGTTTTATTTTATGTTTTCATGTAACACTTCAGAACTCATATTTGACATTTCAGAATCAGTTTACCAAGATGGCTGTGATATGTGAGTGAAAATGTTATGAAACAATAAGCTTCAAGCCTGTGAGTGTGGCTGAGTGTGTGCAGGCTCAGGGTTGGCAATGGGAAAGGTAATGCAGTCGTACTGACAGTGAGCAGAGTGTGTGTGTGTGTG